CGATGGAGAATCTCAATCTCAACTTAATAATTACGAGAGTATGTATCATTTACAAGAAATAGAAGAGCAGAAACTTAATCAGCAGAGAGAGGCTGAGATCAGTAGGCAAAGACTCCAAGTTGAGCAACAAGAACTACAAAGGCAGCAGTATGAAGTTGAGAATCAGGTATTAGAAACTCAACGACAAGAGGCGGAGCAAAGAGAATTGGAAAGATTAGAGAGTGAGAGAATCGAAGCCGAAAGACTTGAAGCACAGCGAATGGAAGCAGAATTGAATACGCAGCGGAAGTTACAGTCATCAAACTTTATGCATCAGCATCACACTTCGTCTTTGGTCGTTAATCCCGAGGAACATTTGCTCGGACAAAGCCTTACTGTAAACACGAAGGAAGCTATTTCGGTTGTGCAGGGTTTGTGGCAATCTCCTGACACGACTGTTAATGCTTCGCGCTTTCGTAGTCTCCCTGTCACATCTAGAATAGTAGACTCGAGAAATAAGTTATCATTTGATATACACATGGACAGCTCTATGACACAACATGCGATATCCAGTAACAAGCATCATCAAGGATACAACATGCAAGTTTATAACGATCAAGAAAATCATCAAAGTTATACACAGCATCATAGTTATTCTGGTCAGGATCAACACGTTACATATGGGAATCCCAATTTGCAGAACAGTTATCATTATCAAATACAGGTATAAGAAGCATTTACATAAATGTTTTTTCATATATTTTGCTTTTATATTAAATATATTGTTTTTATATTTATATTTGCTTATATTTGCTTTTTATACGTAGGCTCATGAAAATTTAAAGTGATAAAAGTAATAAAAGTAAAATGTTAAAAAGTAAAATGTTGTTTTAGTTTAGTAGTTGTTTAGTAGTATGTTGTATATTATAGTAAGAAGATCTAGTAAGTAATATTTTTTGTTACAGCAACATCATGATCATCCAGTGCAGCAATCACATCCTCGGCAGCATCATCCCCAACATCAACACCATCATCAGCAAATGATTCCACCACATCAGCAAATACATGCCATGCATCATCAATCTCTTTCTCATCCACAGCATTTACAATCGCCTCACAGCCAAATGCAGCATCATCAGCCGAACATTCATCACCAATCACCGCACAATCACCATCATCAGCCTCCGCACAATCATCATCAGTCACCACACAATCATCATCATCAGTCACCGCACAATCATCATCAGTCTCCGCATGGTCAACATATTTTGCATTCGCAGCAACCACAACATGTACATCAGCATATGCAACATATGCAGCATTCTGTTTATGGTAATATGTTACCCAATGACATTGGATATCAACAGTATCCAGCATCGATGGAAGCTTCTATGCTGCAGCAGAATATAGAACCGCAGAAACAATTACACTTTTCGCCATACTCCGATCCTGATATTGAAACGAGCAAACCATACAGAATGCCACCCGAATTACCCTACATTAAATCGCCTGGGATGAATCGTAAAGATATCAAATATCTCAAAAGCGCGGAAGATAAAGAGAATGCTATCGTTGTGGATTATAACGGTCCGTTAGAAGAGAATATGATACCCAAACCGAACGAGAATAATCTTTATATTGATGAAAGTTTGGGTATAACTCCTCTGACAACTGCTAACGAGACATGTTTTACGGAAGCATTTAATGCACCGTTAACAAGTTCTACTCCAATGACTAATCATTTCAAATCATCATACAGAGTAAAAGACGAATCGCAGTTTTCAACTCAGAATACTGTGCCTCAAACGTATGTGTTAATATACTTTTGATTTTTCGAAAATATATATGAAATATGTATAAATATGTATGAAATTCATTTAATTTTTATTTATGAACAGAGTTATAGAAGTACCTAATCCCGAAGGTGATGATAAATTAAGCGTGATATTGGAAACTACCCGGGAATATGTATCAAGCAGTTCAGGTAGTAGCAATTACACCAAAACAACTGGATTGACTTTTGCATTAACGAGGGAAGACATGATTCCATTTAAAGAACAACCTGTGGATACGAGTATGTATAATAGTTTTTTGTTAATAATAAGTGTAACATATTATGTAATATGTAACATATTATTATTTCTCATAATTATGATTATGAGTATCAAAGATACAGTTTCCAAAATTCATCTACTTGAATTATTATTAAGCAAGTAATTAAATATCGTGTTGTAAATCTTTTATTTTATTGAAATTTTTTAACTTTTATTTATGTATAAAGTTGTAGAAGAGGAATCAAATGAATCTTTACTATCCGTGAATCAACATTATGAACAGAAGCAGTGTGCGCAAATCCCAGCTGTGCATGCTCAAAGTCCGCGTACGGTTCAACGGCATGTTGATCAAATAACATCCGAAATAAAGAATAATTGTGATCTAAGAAAGTCTATGAATTTAAAACTTAATGAGGAAGACAATGCAGAAAAGATTGATACTATGGAATGTGAAGAGCATGAACCTATGGAACAAGTAGAAGAAGAATGTTTTGAGCTCCCATCGAGAGATATAAATCCATTCGATAAGATCTTAATAGCTGGCCTATTGAAAAAAATAAAGTTTCCGCAACCGCATCATGCAGATGGTTATAAGAGAATAGATACCAATTTAAATAAGCTTGTGCCTTCTACCATGATTACGCTCGGTCAGTATTCAAGTTACACGGATTAAGATTTATGCTATATTGTTAAATATATCTATAAGTTTTTTTCTCCTAATTTATATGTAACTTATATATACGTTTATGATTGTGCAGACACCGAAGCGTATGATTTGGAAAAGTGCCTTGGAAAAGGAATGTATGGAACAGTTTTTAAAGCAATTAATTTGCAAACAGGCGAGACCGTTGCCCTTAAAACGCAAAGACCTGCTTGGGTTTGGGAATATTATATCGTACGGGAAATAAAATCGCGTCTTACAAATCCACATATGGTAGTTTAACATATTTCTATCTTGATTTATTTTCGAAATTTTCTTATTTATTAGTAAATTAATTTTCTTCTTCCCGTAATATTTTGTAATATTTCTTTAATATTTCTTTTTCAGCTACGTGGCTTTATGGATGTGACAATGGCATATGTAGCTAACAATGGAAGCGTACTAGTTTCAGAATATTCTAAGTTTGGGACGTTATTAGCAGTGACAAATCAGATAAAGATTGCCACCGGCAAGCCTCTGATGGAGACCTTAGCTATTTTCTTCACAATCGAGATGCTTCAAATCGTGGAGTACTTACACAAATGCCAAATAATACACGGGGACATAAAGCCAGATAATTTTTTATTAATGCGACAGTTAGTATTATTATTTTTTAGATATCACGCTTTGGATTGTTATATTTTTATTCATTTTATGATTATCAACAGACCTACGCAAGATGTAAGACCAACTATACAGTTGATAGATTTTGGATGTAGCATAGACATGAAACTATTGCCAGAAAATACAACGTTTACACAAGTTATAAAAACAGAAGATTTTACTTGTATCGAGATGCAAACTGGGAGACCATGGACATATCAGACTGATTTATATTGTCTAGCAGCGACCAGTCATTGTTTACTATTTGGCAATTATATGAGAGTGTCTAACGTGAGCGGTCGTTGGTTTATTGCTTCAAAATTACCAAGGTATAAAAATAATAAATATATTATACATATCATGATTCAGAAGAATTGTATTTGTCATGTAAAAAAATTTGAATGTTATGCATTCTTTTTGCGTTATAGGTATGCCAAGAAAGCTGCTTGGGAACAATTTTTCACAGAGCTGTTAAATATCGAATCATGTGAGAAAATGCCAGATTTGGCAAAATTAAGAAACATGATGGAAGAGACGCTAGCGCAAATGCCAGAGGTGCAAGCGAAATTTCGGACTTTTGTCAACATTCTCAACAAACGATAACGCTTACTATATCTGATGACATCTCTCAACGTGTACACATATTTAGCAAAGAACCAACGTGTAATAAGATACATTAATGTTATTGTGCTATTTATTATAAAAAAGTTAATACTACAGTGAGATAAATATATGTATCAACACAGTTATATAACACACAAGAATGCACTTTACGGCCTGCTTCGTGGAGGCTTTAACGATATTCGTTGCTTGCACATAATCAACATTATTAGGACCACTGCAACGAGTCTAACCCCTCCAAAATTGTTTCAGAAATTTAGAAGATATGCGAAGATTTATACGAGAGATTTTGAAAATGTATCTTGTTATCTATCACAAACATGTATGCGCTCGTTACGCAAGTTATGAAGGAATACTTGTATAATATGATTAACAAATGATGAAAAACAAAGTCTTAAAAAAATTTGACTGTAAAAATGAATAGTACAATATGTGTGTGATAGTACGAATCCAGTTTGCAAGACGACATGCAGAAGTGCATGTATACCGAGTACCTTGAGTACCTTGTATAGATAATTAATGTATATGTGTAACATTGTATATTTAAAATAGATTTTGACTTAAAGCTATTCGATTATATTGTCAACGGGTTCGTCTTGCTTTCCAATATCCCCCGAAATATGTACTATATCAATGATATTAAACGATTGTTTCAGACATTCTTCCCAAATACATTATTAGAGCAAAACAGTGAGATTTTATTACAAAACAGCGACATATGACAATTATTTTAGACAGTTTTAATTTGGATATGTGCAGGCTTATTTCCGAGTGTCCACTAAACAGGCCTTTTATGTAGCCTTTAAGTTAAGACTTTCTAAATATATTGCGTATGTGCATATGTTAAAATATTGGCAGAAATTTCAAAATTTTGCGTTTTGATTTTAGATTTTATATAAAGATGCACAAGAACTTTTGGTTGTCCTTGAAACGTGAATATTAATATAAATTTATATATACATACTTCAAGACACAGATGTTTAAATGAATTATAATTGACAACCTATCGTTCTTGTTTAAGAATTTATGAAAATATGCCTTATCTTACTTTAAAGGTGTAACGTAAAAAAAAAAAAGATAATGTTCAGATAAGAGCGCGTACAAAGCTTTAAAATTAAAAACAGTTGAGACATTGTAAAATACATTTATTAAAATACATTTATTAAAATCAATTCTAATAAATTATCGATCTATCGATAATACCAAAATATGTATTATGTTTTAATTTACCTTTGATTGCTGCATGTAAAATTGCGCATTACTAATTTATCTGAAGACATTTCTTGAAAAATTTTATGATTATTATACCTTTTTGTATGGATTTATCAAATATTATATATAAAATATTACGGCAAAAAATTTTCAATATTCACACACACTACACGCGCGTGCGCACACACACACACACATATGTCATTTTATAAGTTTTACAAGTTACCATTAATATAATGTTCTTTTTAATAAAAATTTAACGTTAATTTCAAACAAATAATAGTTGGATAGAATAAAAATTTAATTATATATGTATATTTATCTATATGATCAGGACAATCTATATGATTAGGATAAAAATTTTTTAAAATTTATAAAATTATTATTTACATGTTTTATATATTTTTTTCGACATTGTCCGGTGTAAAATAGTTTAGAGATTTATAATCTTTCTGTGGAATAATCAAAATAATCTGAATAATAGCATTCAACGAAGTTTGCTGAATACATAAGAAATAATCAAGATTCACATTAAGTAAACAGTAGTTAGATAGAATACAAATTTGATGAATATAAAAATATTGAACCATCTTGATAAGAAAGGTTCAATATTTTTGTATTCATCAAATTTGTATTCTAACTATTGTTAGATTCATAATAAAGAAAAGAAGACGAATGCCCGCTATGTTCATAATAAATTAAAAAGATGCTTTTGTAATCTAAATTTACTCACACACTTTATTTAGAGCGTAGCAAATATAAAAAAGCACAGCATCGATTCGCCTTTTCGCTTTCTCATATTTTGCACACTTCCTTTTCTTCTACCCAAATCTGTCTAAATATAATAAACTCTATTTTAATCATTATAGATTTAAAAATATAGTTAAAAAATATTTTTTTTCAATTTCCCGTTTTTAAAATTAAAAAAAATTGCGAGCATATAATAGTTATGATAGATGTTTAATAATGGAAATACGAACTGGATCATTGATAAAATTTACTAACCATCTCTAAATTCGTTTCGTGCTCTGCACTTCATAAGCAGAAGATTTAAGAACCCTCAAAGTTTCTTGATTAACACTCGAGCACAATCGAGTATTGATAGCTAAAATCAACACATGCTGGTAAAGATAATATTAATTATTATAATTTACTTGGGTTTGTAATTCACAAATAGATTGATTTTTGATTTCCAGAAATCTAATACAAAAATTTCATTCAATGTCATCGTGAATTACAAATTAAATATTTAACAATTAAATTTGTAATACAGAACATTAAATATAAAAAAATAGACCATATAGTTCAAGTACACCTAAAATAAATATATTGAAAATATCCAAATCAATGTTTTCCTAAAAACTCTTCTTTATGAAAATTTCAATAAAAAATATAAAATATTATAATTTAAAATAATGAAAGTTTAATAATTTAAATTATATAATAACAATCATTAAACTGCTAAATCATTTAACACTGCTGATTGTGACAAAATTAAACATTATGTAATAAAATGCAAAATTAAACACTATGTAATAAAATAAATCGTTCAATCTTTTATTTGAATTATAACTTTAAAAATCCGTATAATTAATCGATCTTTATATCTACATTATTAATATATATAATTCTGATTACTTCCTTTTTTTAATGTAGCAAAAAAAGAAAAAAGTAACTTAATATTTTATTTAAAATCAATTTAATTAATTTCAATATTGAAATAACATGATGTATTACTGAGTAATAGATATAAATAATTTTTGCTAGTTCTTAGATGAAAACATTACGCATTAAAAAATATTTATATACACTGCTGACTGTGACAAAATTAAACATTATGTAATAAAATGCAAAATTAAACACTATGTAATAAAATAAAATAAATCATTCAATTTTTTATTTGAATTATAACTTATCTTTTATGATGTAATTGCGGTGATGTAGTTTTATGAAGCGTTCCTGAAAAAACGCAACTCAAATTGTGTTACATGATGTATCTTAGGATCAAGGACAATAAGTAATGTGCACATATATATTTTCCAATTGAAAAGTATGCCCAAAGTATACATACAAAATACATCATATGCCGTCAATCTAACTTTGATCACGTATAGAATAATCGCTGGATTATATTAAATCAAATGTATTGAATATAATTTCCTGAAGCCAATGTACATCATTTAATTATTACAATACAAGCGCAAACGAGATATACAATGTTGACACATTCTTTGGTATAACAATTAGATATAAGCTCGTAATTAAGATATATATATATATATATATATATATATATATATATATAAAATATAACATTTGATTACAATAAGATTGCTCAGAGAAGCCAATTTGTACTAATTAGATGTATGATACGCTTATAGATGCGTTTCTTCATAATTTCATCGAAGTATTAATATTAATATATAATCTGTTTTCCTTGTCAGTTGAAGAATCTTTTAATAAATATAATAACGTGCACTACTAAAGTCTATCCTTAATTCATCATGTATTTAAATATCTTTTGTGTGTCTCATATCATGTATCTTTGTAGATTCTGAAATATTAAAAATTGACTTGAATTGAATTTTGCAAAATCAAGACAGGAATATGTATTGAAATGGAATTATTTACGGATTTTGATAAAATAGAGGTAAAATTATCACTGCCATATTTATATTGATATCTTTATCTATGGTCTAAAACTTAAGTGTATATCTCTTTTTCGTGCTATATATTAGATATTAAAATTTTTAATTACTGTAAATAATATAAAAATGTATATTTTGATTTATTGTAGCGCTAACAATGTCTTCATTCTCAAAAAGATGCCATAAAGTAATGATATCAATAATTAATATATGCGATTTTTTTATAACTATTATATAGAATATAAATCTGATTAAATATAGGCCTTTTTGATGGCATTTGATTAATTATGTTTTATATAATCACCTTATACATCAATCATACATACATATACACACACACTACTAATATATATATATATATATATATATATATATATATATATATATTATATAATTAGATTTATATAATAATGATTGTATATTGACTTGGAAAATATGTCTATGCTTGATTTAGAATTAAATTCACTCCGGAAATATATTAAAAAATGATGTAACTTCATTCATATCCTTATGAGAATTTGTAAATAAAGACTTTATTAATGCTTCATGATTTTAATGATGTATAACATTTTCGTCTTACAATAATCCTATTTATTACGTGTATAAGATTATTTTAACTAATAAATACACCAATTGTCACTTGTTACCTCATAATGCGGCATGCGCAAAATTAAGTTGTACAAAGTAAGTGTGTTCAGATTAAAATGAAGAGCAGGAATAAGGTCAATTCAGATCGGAGAAGGATGAAGCGGTGGACAGATAAGCCCCAGCCCCTAGCAGCACCCACCACCCTGCGCACTACCTTGTCCACCAATTCCTGCTAAACCTCCAGGACTTGTTGGCGAATGTTGTGGTCCAATCTTAATACCGTTGGCCTATGCAATTCAATTATCATTATTGATTTTAGAACATTCTTATTATAAAGAGTAATAAAGTAAGTATAAAATTAACTTTTTTGTACTCAATCTATAAGAAGCAAACTACTTCTCTTTATAATTAAAAATTTATTGCAAATTTGAATAAAATTTTGAATAAAATTTTGGAAGAAAAAAATTATTTCAGAATTTAATCAAAATTTATCTCTTCATTTGAATTATTTTGAATTATATATTTTGAATTATTGTATATAGAGTACAGAATAATTGAAAGAATCAGGATCATACCTCGTTATTAATGTCAAAAACTCCCTCCTGTATTTTTTCGTATATTTCCTTTGCCGTATTGATGAATGCTTCTTCTACATTGGCTGCAGTCTTGGCGCTAGTCTCCATAAAGACAAGACCATGTTCACGTGCAAAAGCTTCGCCTTCTTCTCTCCTTACTTCTCTTCGACTATCCAGATCACTTTTGTTGCCAATTAACATGATAACCATATTGGAATTTGAATGTTGCCTTGCATCTTCCAGCCATGTTGTAAGATGATTAAAAGTTTCCCTACGTGTAATATCATATACCAGTAGAGCTCCAGCTGCTCCGCGATAATATGACCTTGTTATAGAACGGAATGCCTCTTGACCTGCCTATAAAACATAGATCAGGAAAATAATTAATTTAGTTCATCTGGCTAAATTGAGAGCAAAAGCTGCATAAAATTGGTATAATTTTATTTGTACAAAAATATTAAAATAAATACAATAAAATTTTCTAGAAATAACAATTAAAAATACCTTAGATAAGAATTTAAAGTTATTTTAAAACATTAATCTAAATATTAATTATTATATATTAATTATTAATTATTAATTATTATATAATTATAATAAATAATATATTTTTCATTGAGGATTACAATCTCAATAAAGTTAATAATATTATTTATATAATACAAAATAACAAAATAATTAAATAATTACAGTATCCCATATCTGCAGTTTAATTTGCTTGCTATCAATGGTGATCATACGAGCACCAAACTCGACTCCTATTGTCAAGTCATGGACTGGTTGAAATCTCTTATCCGTAAACTGAAGAAGAAGACAGGACTTTCCGACTCCTATTTAAAAATAATATATTTATATATCTTATATATATTTATATATTATATATAATCTGATTGTAATAAAAATAGCTTTATTATATATTCAATTAAATGTAAAAACTTTTCCTCTCATTATCTTATTTTAATATTTACTTCTTGAACTTATATGCAATATTGTGTGCTTACATAATTTCTTAACTTTACGCCCACCGTTTAACATAGTGATCACCGTTTGCGACAACGTATTTTCATTACGAAAATAAAATTCAAGCAAAATTCGGATATATAATAACACAGCATACAAAGTCTTGGTCTAATTCTATTATAAAAGACGCAGCTATTTATAGCTGGCTAACGTGAAAATCGACAGGAAAATTTATCAAATCAGTCAAGATACGAAACTCGATCGGCGTGTAACAGCAACAAATCAGAGTAGCGACGCGAGACAAGACGAGAGCTACTCAAGAGCTACCTGGATCGAACGTATGCGCGATGTGTAAAGGGAACAAATATGCGTCAAGGAAATTTTTTTGTCGGTGAGCATTTCCGCGGTGCGGATTTATTCTCGCATTTACAAATCAACGCGCGACATCATCGCGCATCACGATGATAAAAACAATGGGTCCTGTCACGAACGACGTAGAAGGCGCACGGGGCGAAGCGTCTCACAGCAGTACCCCGTATGCACGTCACGGTGTATTTACCTGTGTCCCCGATAATAATATACTTGAACAGGTACGCGTACGACATTTCGGCGACACGCGAGGCTTGACGGAGCGCGCGGACAGTTTTTCCTCAGCTTCGAAACACACCAGGAAACAGAACTCCCTTTCCTTTCCCGTGACTGTCGCTTATCTCTTCTGCTCCAGCATGACGTCACGACGGGCGCTTCGGCAGGCCTCGGATCGTTTCGCGGCGCCTTCGACTTTCCGATAACGCCGTCACCGTCGCCGCGACACGTGTGCGCGATGTCGAGCGCCGATTGGTCGCCCAGAGTGCGACCGAAGTTATGAGTGATATGGGCTCGCTTGAGATCCAAAAGAAAAGAAGGACATCATTATAACATCGAGGTTTTTCGTCTCTGATTTTTGATTTTTTACCCAATGTATAGATGAAATACTGATTGCGTTCAGTAGAAAAAGTAGCTTCGCAACTGTTGTAAGATTTTTAATATAAATTTGGTTCTTTACTGGATTTAATTGTATAAACCAATTATATTAAAAAAATTTACAACAGTTGTAAAACTTTTTCGCTGAATGCAAACACTATTAAAGACTAACGATCTTATGAGAATTCATGTGGTCGCAGAATTGTTAAAATTTTGAACAATTAATTCATAATGTAACATTAATTTATTATTTTATTATTATCTCGATTCTTTAGCAAATATATATATATTATGTGTGTGTATATG